AGGTCAGAAGCACAAGGGGATCCAATTGCGCAAGTCTCCAGTCACAAGATATATCTCAACAGCGGCGGACTCTCCCCGCATGATATCCAACCGACAAGTTTCGTTCTCCGTATCTCGGGGCCGAGTTTCACTTTGTCTATTATTGAGCGAGATGATAAGTGCTGATTGAACGAAAACAGAAGCCTCACTTGCCTCAAGCCGCGCATTTTGACGGATGGATGATCATCCACTAGAGTACAATATCCCTTGTCATCAGCCAACGGTCCGGGGCTTGTTGCAGCCTACCAGTAAGCATTCTGGCTGGACTTGTTAAGAAATATCCAGTGGGAAGACATCAATTGGTTCCGGGGTATTGCTCCTTTGTGAACCCAGCCATCTTGAATGCTTAGCGGGGGTAGAGACCAACAAAAGTGATATTAGTCGGAGTCCTAGGGAGGTTCGGGGATGCTCGGAGGTCGGAATTCCTTTGCTGGAATATCTGAAGGGACACGGTGCTTTCGAGAGGGACTGGCAAAGTTCTCCAATGATGACATGCCTTGGTTTTGGCCGGCTGAAGGGGGAAAAGGAAAAGAGACAACGGGATGACAACGAACACCAGTGGTATGGCCTTCACGGCCTTCCAGTGCCTTCTGCCTCCTCGCACTTTGTCAGACAAAAGCTTACACACGCCTGTAAATGTCCCTCAGCGTCTGGCTGTCCCGCTTTCCACGTTGTTTCGCCCCCAGATTCTGGTCCTTAATCCCCCTCGCTTACAAGGGGTAAGTAATTGGCACGGTGGTTCTCGAACCGATCTCTTGTCCTCCATGCCTTACGGATGGAGTGGCACCCTGAGGCCCCTCGGAGCCCCTCTGTTTCGCCTGCAATAAGCCCAGGAAGACGATCGGAGAAAAGAAAGTGCTTACTGGCAAATTTCAACTGCCGTTGGCTGAAAGGATCCGGTCGCAGTGGACTGCGATACATCGTATTCTATCAGTTAGTTCTGTGACGAAAACGCTCTCGGAAGGTGGGACTTGGTTCACGGTCTGTACAGGGTACCCGTTGTACTTGTATGTACCTCGTATCGCCCGTGCCGCAATCAAGGTGACCAGGAACGCGCGACAATGAAACCAGCGCATATGTACAAGAATGAGCGCATGAGATTATATCCTCCTTCTGCTGGGGATCCACTGATATACTCTGGTGACTCGAGATATTAGCAACAAGGGATCGCCGTACCCGGTACTTTACTCGGTACTCGTAGCTTGGTGGCTGGCAACAAACACCGTAGCAGGGGATCCCATCAATCGGCACCCAGTCGGCCTCTGGACTTTTGCTGAGTCACAAGTGTGCAAACCCTCCTCACCCTGGTCTCTTCATTCGATCATCTTTGGTTGGGCGGCAGATGTTGTGTTAGGTGCAGAAGTGGCGTTTGGTTGGTGGTGGGTTGAGAGAGGAAGAGGGACGAGTACGAGGAGCAGAGCCAACTTAGCATCACCCGTCTACCGGGTACATGTTTTGATCTTCGCCGGTGATTAGTTTCCTCTCGCAAATGTCTACTAGACCTTCTTTTCACTGGTCACACCGAACCTTGTGAGGCGTGGCTAAATTACTGCCTTAGTCAGAAATGGAGGTTGCGATGAGGGAGCCCCGTGCCGTCCATCTCGCCCATCTCGGGCGCATTGGGCATCTGAGGGCATACCTCGAGACTGTTGAAAGGCGAACTCGTATGCCGCGGGTTCCAGTGGTCTTTTCCAGGGGCACACCACCTCTAACTCCAATCCTACGTCGGGATCCTTTCTTTTGAGTCCCCGAATAATCTTACTAGGTGCCCTGGTTCGTGGGTCGAGAACGTCTGAGATGGTTGCGCACACGTACATATGTGTGGAAATAGTGACTGAGGGACAGAGTGACTGACTGGAAGTTGGACGTACGAGAAGGTACCAGCTGCCACCGGTCGTCGCCCGCAGGGCAGCGCCCATTATTGGTCCCAAGGAGGCCCATCAAGGGGGGGGATCCGCCCAAACCATGCTCCCATGGCTCCCCCGTTCTGCCAACACGGTAGACCGGGTACCCAAAACGTGCTCGCGCCCTTGACAGGGCCTTTTAATTAAGTCTACTAGGCGTGCTAGGCCACTAGGCTGCCCTGGTGCCCCTCCATGCCCGGCCACGGGCATCTCCCATTGTGCAACACCGCCAATCCGGAGGCCACAGATGTCCTCCAAGAGTCAAGGCTTGCCCTGCAGATTCCCTTGCGCGATCGCCCTCAAAATCCTTCGACCTCGTCGTCAGTTTCACAACGGTCTCCTTTCTCCTCAATTCCCAATCCCATTGCGACTTTATTCTCTCCATATCGTCTCCTGAAAGACAACTCACACATACGACATCCCCGTAGAGAGAAAAGTTGGGCTACAAGAAGCCACGAAGCTCTCTTCAGCTGTTCCCAACCCCGCTGACTTTGGAAGATTGATCCTTGTTACATACTTCCCACCTGCCCACCCACGATTCCCCCGAACCCGCACGATGCATCCCCTACCGATGGTTCGTTGACACACCTCCAACTGCGACTTTCCGGTCCTTGTCCTATCTTTCACGTGGGAACGCCTGCGTACCATTATTGCCACTCTGCTGTTGCATTCAATCTTGCCGTACAGGCGTCGCTATCGCGACCTCCCGCATGTGCAGATAGTCGGTCGTTGATTTGACCTAGTCGCCTTTTCAGAGGATATCGGAATCTCATCTCCACGGCTGTTTACGCGAGAGTCTGGTTCAGCGACCTACAAGACAGCAAGAGAAAGGACGTAACTGCGGGAACGGTGCAGAAAGATTCGAGACTCCGATATCAATTCTACATTCGCAGTCCTTGAGAACCCAGTCGTATCATGGATTTCTCGTACTTCACTTCAGCCCCGCAACCGTATCAATTTTTTGGTTTGCCTCACACGCCCTCTACCACGCAAACGAGTCATCTGGACGAGTTCAGAACCGCTCCTTCCACCGTGAGTTGCTTCTGGCACACGGGGTCTCTAACGAAGGCGGCTAATCGTACTGTAGGATCAATATGACGCTGCCTTCGCGGCATTTCAACAAAGCTTCCACTATGACCCTGCTACTTTCCTCGCCCAACCTCATCAAGCATCCACCCAATCCCCGTCGGTCCAAGGCCGCCATGACTCGATGGTATCTATGCCAGAGGTCGATATGTCCAGTCTCACTGCACCCGCAGCAGATATGACGCCTGATGAACCGACAGTAGCAAGAAGTAGCAGCGAAGAGAAGGATACCTTGACCCCTCAGCAGAGTCGCAGGAAGGCACAAAACAGAGCTGCGTAAGACCACTGAAACCTAGATTTCCGAGGGAGTAATATGATTCTAACAGTGAACCTCAGCCAACGAGCGTTTCGAGAGCGAAAGGAGAAGCACGTGAAGGACCTCGAGGCCAAGCTGACAAGCCTGCAACATCAGTCCATGACCCTGAACGGCGAGAACGAGCGGCTGCGGCGCGAGCTCGCAAAAATTGCAACCGAGAATGAGATTCTTCGTGCTACATCTGGTGCGGCATCGAATGGTCCGACTCCCTTTATGGAAGAGCCAGACGAGTTAGTAGGCCCGTTGGGGTACGTCCCCACTGATCGACATTTGAAAGACCGCTCGCCGGCTAGTTCCAGTGGTTCGTCCTTCGACATCGGCTCCAAATACGCGCACTTTGGCACCTTGAGAACCATCACGGTGGACAACGACACTGGGGAACCCTTGCTCGGGGCTGGCGCTACATGGGACTACATCCAAGCTCACGAACTCTTCCGCAAAGGGCTTGTTGATGTTGGCGATGTCTGTGAGCGTTTAAAAAAGATGGCAAGATGTGACGGCCAAGGGCCAATCTTCCTCGAGAGTGACGTCCGGCAAGCGATTGCTGAAAGTGCCGTTGCCGGAGGGCGTGACGAGCTGATATGAAGACTCTTGTCGCTTGCTACACCACAGGTGATGATGCCTCTCCTCACGATCTCCTCACCACATTTATTTGAACCTTCTATGATCAAGCGTTGGCGCCCCGGAGTATTATTGGTTACCTATGACCTCAAGCGAGGCGCAAAGCATTTGGAGGAATTCTGTTGGAGTGATTTGTGCAATTGATCAACCGTCCCTGCGCAGAAGGGACGATATTATTACCATCGAAAGCTGAACCTGCGTGCATGGCCACTTTTCCTGGGTGGCGAGGACCCTTGATCACGAGAAATGCTCCAATCCCCCGCAGCACTCTCGGCATGCAGCTCTGCAGCCAACACTTTTCCAGCCCTCTGCTCAGGTGGATCGCATCTTTTCTGACAAATGGACCTTGGACACGTTATGTCAGCTGAAACCCTACAGCCCACAGGCGTCACCAGTGACACAAATATACATGAGGTTAGGACCCTGCCGCGTACCTGCTCCAAGGCTGCTTCTTTCCGTGGACACATGACGATCTCGGACAGAGAGACCTATTCTCTCGGTTGGATCTGATTTCCCGAGTTGCGCGAGCCTCATGGCTTCGTGTAGCCAAGCCGCCCTCTTGGCGGCTTGGGTATATCATGCAGGACACAAGTCATCAGTCACGGCCAACCAGACAACGATTGCACGCTTCAGAGTTCCTCAGAAACTAGGCTTCAGAATCGGGGGAGTTCTTGTCTTATCTGAGTGGCACCAGCGACTTGCAGCGGCGTCGTCCACCTTTGGCAAATCGTGTTTCATCATTGGGCACCACCAGTGTCTGTCTCATGCGCGCGATCGCCTGACCGGATGTTCCAGCCTCGTAGGCGTTGCAGTCTTGAAAGGCTGCCATGCGAGCAAAGGCAACCGTGTCTGGTAATTGTTGCGAGAGTGTTGATGTTGGGAGGGACGGCTCCTAACTCTCGAAAGGATGAACGGCGTTGAGCTGTCGTAGAAGTGCCTGCGTCGCCTTTACCCCTTGGCCCACAGCCATGTCCATAGTCGTCAGCACCGCTGCGGATGAAGACCGCAAATCAATGAGAAGAATCATTATTGCATCAGTCCCAATCATCGTCGTCGTCGTTGACTTGATTGTTCTTCTCATTCTCATCTTCATCGTCCTTTTGTCTGAGCCGCATGTCATTCTCTGTGACCGCGCCAACATCAACAAGAAGTCGTTCAAGGTCTTTCAAGTTCGTTCTCACGCCGTTGAGCTGCCCCAAAGTGATAATTTGGCGCTTGATGTCACCGTCTTTGTACACAAGAATGGTCGGTGTGTTCTTCTCCGGATAACCCTCAATGCACAGATCGGCGCGAATCTCACAGAACTTGACATCCCCAAACTTTCTCGCAGCCTGTCTCCAAATCTCAGACAGGACCCGAGACTCAACATTGGTGCCAAGTGACGAGGTCAAATTGACCAGAACAAATGCCTTTGACGATTCTTCCGTAACATCACGCGCGTAATCTGGCTTTTGGAGCGGAAAGACTTGGCCGTAGAGAGACTTCTTCTGCAAGCTTTGGATTTCGGCCAGGCGCTTTCGGCGGTAGGATTCGAGAAACGCTTCATCTTCCTCGTCTTCGAGGTCATGGAGTTCGTCCAAATCCTTGTCCTCAAGTCGATTCTCGTGGGCCTTTTTCACAGCTTCGAGCAAAGCTTCTTGGATGATGGGTTCTGGATCTGGTTCTTTCTCGGGAATGATACCATGTTTGCGAAGAATGTCGTTCCTTTATGTGTCACAGAAGCATATTAGCTGCACTGGGAGAGAGGAAGCACAGGTGAGAGACGAGATTAGCAACGAACCATTCTGTATCTGCGTTTGGGTCATCGACAGGGACGTTTACTGGCATATCCATTGTGATTCTGACGGTTGTACAACAGCACTATGTGGTTAGAATGAAGTGAGGAGTCCGCTGACGAAGAGCAGTGGGAGGAAATAATACTCGGCCCTTCGGTTTTCGATCCTCATCAGCAATCTTCCAGTGGCGTGAAGCACCAACGCGCATCAGCCACAGTGTGGCGGCCAGTTGTGGCTGCCGCAGGCACTCCGCACAAATTATTGGCAATGGACGAGGACACCGTCGACAACTCCAGCCCACGTCGGAAACGACGTCTCGATAGTATTGGCACAACGCCAGCACCCTCCCTTCAATTGTCAGGCTCACCATTCCCTTACCTCTCCTTCACTTCACTCTTAAGATTTTGATTGTGCGAAATGATTGTGCGGTAGTCCCATACAGACACTCGTCCCAGCTCCTCCCTACCCAAGGGGGCATCCCTGTCATTGTTAATCTCTCGCTACCATCAATTGAACGAGTACGTGTTGTTATTGCCCAACATGAGTTACGCCAAAAAGGACGAGGATGCCGAACACTCCGGCTTCAAGCTGGACCGAACTTCTGTTTTCCAAGATGGTATTTCACCCTTGCGTCTGCCTGTCATCAACCAACATCCCAATTGCAAACATTAACCCACGATACTCTAGCTCGACTGTTCAATTCCTCACCTATATCACCTCGAAAATGCCGCACCCTACTCACCAAGATCGCGGTCCTCCTTTTCACGGGGGAGAAATTCCCCACGAACGAAGCAACCACTCTCTTCTTCGGGATTTCCAAGTTATTTCAGAACAAGGACCCCTCCCTGCGACAAATGGTCTACTTGATATTGAAAGAGTTAGCACATACTGCCGAGGATGTCATTATGTCTACGAGCATCATTATGAAGGACATGACCGTGGGGAGTGAGATCATCTACAAAGCAAATGCTATCCGGGCTCTCTGCAGGATAATCGACGCAACAACTGTTCAGGGCATTGAAAGGTTAATCAAAACCGCTATTGTCGACAAGTCACCCGCTGTCTCGTCGGCAGCCTTGGTCTCATCGTACCATCTACTTCCCATCGCCAGGGATGTAGTCAAGCGGTGGCAGAGTGAGACTCAGGAGGCCGCTTCCTCTTCCAAAGCTAGTGGAGGATTTCTGAGTTTCGGAGGTGGCTCCCAACATTCTCTGGCGGCGTCAAACACGAATTACATGAACCAATATCACGCAATTGGTCTGCTATATCAGATGCGGTCGCACGATCGCATGGCTCTCGTCAAGATGGTACAACAATACGGCGCTGCGGGAGCAGTCAAGAGTCCAGCGGGGGTCATGATGTTGGTACGGCTTGCAACCCGCCTCGCCGAAGAGGATCCCAGTCTACGGAAGCCTATGATGCAGATGTTGGACGCCTGGCTGCGGCACAAGAGCGAGATGGTCAAGTTCGAAGCTGCAAAGGCAATCTGTAACATGCCCGATGTGACCGACGCCGAAGCCGCACAAGCTATCGACGTCCTGCAATCCTTCTTAACCTCTCCGAGGGCGGTCACAAAATTCGCAGCCATCCGCATTCTCCATTCATTTGCCTCGTTCAAACCTCAAGCCGTCCACTCAGCAAACCCAGATATCGAGGCTTTGATTTCCAACAGCAATCGGTCAATCGCGACATTTGCAATCACAACTTTACTCAAGACTGGCAACGAGGCTAGTGTAGATCGGCTTATGAAGCAAATATCCGGTTTCATGACCGAGATCACAGACGAGTTTAAGATCACCATTGTCGAGGCTATCCGAACACTCTGCATGAAATTCCCCAGCAAACAGGCCGGCATGCTCACATTCCTGAGCGGTATCCTGCGAGACGAGGGAGGTTACGAATTCAAACGTGCCGTAGTGGAGAGCATGTTTGATCTGATCAAATTTGTTCCGGGGAGCAAGGAAGAGACACTCTCACACTTGTGCGAGTTCATCGAAGATTGCGAGTTCACCAAGTTGGCGGTGCGGATTCTACACCTTATTGGCGTCGAAGGCCCAAAGACGCCGCAACCCACCAAATATATCCGGTATATCTACAATCGAGTCGTGCTGGAGAACGCACTGGTCCGCGCAGCAGCGGTGACCGCACTAGCAAAATTCGGTGTGGGACAGAAAGACCCTGAGGTCAAAAAGAGTGTCGAGGTCTTGTTGACGAGATGTTTAGACGATACAGATGACGAGGTGCGCGATAGGGCGGCGCTTAACCTGCGGCTGATGCAGGAAGAGGACGACATTGCAGACCGCTTCATCAAAAACGACTCGATGTTCTCGCTGTCGACCTTTGAGCACAAACTGGTCATGTACGTGACATCCGACGACAAGTCAGTTTTTGCTAAAGCATTCGACATTCAATCCGTTCCAGTGGTATCGCACGAACAAGCTTTGGCGGAAGAACGGACAAAGAAACTCAATACTGCCACGCCTACATTGAAGGCACCAAGTACAGGACCTGCGAAACCGAAGGTGAACGGAGCCGCAGAAGGACCCGCTGCCGGTGCCGCAGCCGCCCAGAAATATACCCAGATTTTCTCCAGGATACCCGAGCTGGCAGCATATGGGCCAGTGCTGAAATCGAGTGCTGTGGTTGAACTTACAGAAAGCGAAACCGAGTACGTGGTGTCCGCCGTGAAACACATCTTCAAGGAACACGTCGTGGTACAATATGACATCAAGAATACTCTTGATCATACTGTACTTGAGAACGTGACTGTCCTAGCGTCGCCTGCCGACGAAGACGAACCTACCTTGGAAGAAGAATTCATAATTCCTGCCACTGCTCTGAAAACCAACGAACCGGGAGTTGTTTATGTTGCGTTCCGCAAGCTAGGTGGCGAATCTGCCTTCCCAGTTACCGCATTCACGAACGTCCTCAAATTTACGAGCAAAGAAATCGATCCCACAACGGGCGAAGCCGAAGAAGGAGGCTATGAAGATGAATACGAAGTCGAGAATTTGGAATTGACAGGCGCGGATTTCGTCAGTCCCGCATTCGCGGGCAATTTCGATCACATCTGGGAGGGTACGGGCGCGAATGGAGAGGAAGTTAGCGAGACGTTGGTGCTGGGAAATGTCAAGACATTGGCCGGTAAGTATACGACCGCTACCTATAACCTCATACGTTGTTTTGTTTTTAGTGCTAACCTGCATCGCTCTGCAGACGCAACGGAACAGCTCTCGCAAGCTCTTTCTCTACAACCCCTCGACGGCACCGACGTGGTTCTATCCAACACAAGCCACACCTTGAAATTGTACGGCAAGTCTGTCACTGGTGGGCGAGTGGCAGCGCTGGTGAAGATGGTGCATTCGGCCAAGTCTGGGGTTACTGTGAAGGTCAGTGTAAGGACTGATGAGACAGGAGGCGGTCTTGCACAGGGTGTCATTGGTGCACTCTCCTAAACAATCCAACGCTTGAACCAAATGTCATGTGGTCGGAGAGGAAGGGTCAAGGGGCGCGGAACCCGAACCAAGTCTGGAGGCAGCGAGGGCGTTGCACCATAGAACAGAAACGACGGATTTGAAATTCCCAAGGTTGAGTTTGCAGGCATCGAGGAGCAATCAGAAGCCAAATGATACGTGGGGCGCGGGCATTCGAGTTTGTGCACTTGGTATTTTAGCAAATCTCCCCAAACCGGCTCGGGGAGGGAAAAATGGAATGATGTTCGAAGAGACGAAATACGTTTTCCCCAATGTCTAGCGCGAATCTGTTTCATGTTTGCCGTTTATAAAGATAAGGATGAGGATGAGCCGCAGTACAAGTACTGTGAATATCTACGAAGACACTGCCACAAGCTAGGTAGTTATGGTATGGTATGATAGGGTATAGAAAGAAGAAGGCGGACTTTTATTTTGTTTTGTCTTCCAACTTGAATACAAGGAAGTGCGTAAGGCCTGGTCCGCATGGACGACCCGGCATTGGTTGGGCTTGACCATGCTGGAAAAGAATCGGAGCGTTCTACAGGTATACGAGTAGATAGCTCTATAGCCCAGCACAGCACGCTTTTATTTCCCGTAACAATGTAAGCTCACGCCGTTTACATCCAGGTTCGGTACTTTTGTCGGGATCCCCTTTGGTGCGTGCGACCATCCTGAATGGTCGGGGAGATTCGCACGAGGGCGCGCAGTAGTGCTTGTTGGTGACTTGGTTCAAGTTGGGCAAAAGTTCTTTCTTGTACTTGTACGGTCTTGGCTCGATAGAGACCATTTGATCGGTTGATCGCAGGCTCGGGATTGCCGCGATAGAGAAGTCGTCAGAGAGTCAGGTATAGTCCAGGCTGACGTGGAGGATATCTTTGAATGCGGGTTGAGAAATGGCCCTCGAGTCGAAGGTTCCGTATTGGTACCGTGAATCGTTGGCACCGTAAGTACAGACTCCCAGGGCAGCCCATGTCTCTCCGTTCGAGAATCACATAAGGATGTGTGGTTGCGATAGCGATTTGTTGTCCGAGCTTTTGTTTTCGAGTTCCTGCCCATCCCTCGCTAATCAAGTTCGACCACATGGTGGGAGAGGAAAGTCTGTCGGAAGGGCGGGAGAACATAGTTTCTTGTGACTGAACTATTCTCTCGATAGTTTTTAAGCCTTTTTCTTCGACCGTCCCTTCTTCGCGCTCGCTGGCACTGGGCTTGTCTCCGCACCGGACGTGAGTGTCGTTTGGTCGGCCTGTACCGCGGGCATCATGATGGGAATCCTGTCAGTCTTGTCCTTCTTGGCCATTTCCTCCTGTGCATTCCTCAACACATCGATGTTGGTGTTCAGCCATGCCTGGAGAGCCTTGCGGTCCAGATAGCCATGTATATTAAACCACTCTGTGTAGTTTCCGGTGATCTCCTTGTCTTCCCATTTCTTGCCAGTCGAGGGCGCAGAGTAGGTGACTTTGAGTTTGTAGACAGGGGAGTACTTCTGAGCGGATGAGCGGAGCGTGAGCTAAATGATGTCCTGCGTCAGTCTGCAACTCGCCTACACGACAGAAGAAGAAACGCAGCAGGTCCAGTGGTGACAAACCTTTTGCCCTCCCTCCCTGACACCCGCGAACACTGTCCCTGCCTCCACCGCCCAGATCCAGAATGTCAATGCACTGTTCAGTACAAAATACGCGACACATGCAGGTCCTGTGTACGCCTTCGTCGCGTCCCACCCAAGTTTCCAATCCGCATAGAACAGTACTCCGGCGATCAGAACGGCTGTGTACCCCAGAGCAAGTTTTACATTTGTCATGTAGTGTTCTTGTTTAAAGGCGTAGGGTCTGGGGAGCGTGGTGAGGTATGGTGCAAGGGCATCGTCGGTTGCGTTTTTGAGATCTGCATTTCCATTTAGTGAGACCAGGCGAGCAATGCGGGCACAAAAGAAGTCATCACCGTACCATTGGCCGAGTAGAGAGACACTTTCTGTGGAGGAGACGAAGACATGTTGGCAGGCGAGGAGTCAAGCCCGAGCAGTGCAGAGCGAGAGTAAAGGGCTATGACCTCGAGTTTACTTTGAGTCTGCTACGGGGTATTGAATGGACACATTGTCTCTCGACCACTGCTTCGACAAACACTATCACGCCGCTTTTTCAACTTTCATCTGCCCCGTCTCCTTTGTTTAGAGCGGCATGCTGCTTTGCAAAATGAGCTAGCGTGTCTATTATCACGAGGCTGAAGATAAGGACCAGCTTGGCAGACGATAAGGCTGCTACTCCATCTTGAGACATCTCGGACGATGGTTGATCCCTTTGACAAACATCTTGATGGCGGTCCCCCCAAACAGAATATGCGCAGATCAACTTGGACACTCCCGCCGCAAATGCCACCTCTGAGAATCCAGTCTCCCGTCTTGCATTGTCATCAGCTCACATAAATTTGATATCCAGATGAGTGGGCACGACAACGGCTCTATGCCACCACATACACCTTCCGAGCCAGGTTTTCAGAGGCCCAACAAGCGTCCTCGAGTTGCGGTTGCATGTCTGAGATGTAAAACAAGACGGCAAAAGGTATAGTCCCCCAAGGATGAGGAACAGCCTGATTAACGTCGTCTAGTGCGACAACAAATTACCGGCCTGTTCGAATTGCGCTAGAGCGAAATTGACCTGTGTCTTCCCTGAAAATGAATATCCGGCATCCTACGTCAAGGAACTACAAAGTCGGGTGACATGGCTGGAGGCACAGCTGGACTCCTTGCGGCCGAGCCAGCCAGGCGAGCATATCTCCGTTAGCGACAACAATGACGCGGCACCAAGCTCAGACGAGCGAATGGCTTCCCCAGCCAGTACTCCAAACTTGGCCAGCAGTGTCGGATTGTTGTCTCTACAGGCAGCGGCCGAACCTCATTATTTCGGCGTCTCGTCTGGAGTGTCTTTAGCCTTAATGATTGAGTCGGCCGTCTACGAGAAATCACGACCCCTTTCCAGTTTGAGTTTGCCCGCAGAGCCCGTCACAAGTCCATTCGCGAGCAATAGCCAGAACGGTCCCCCAATAGGCACAGCACCTTTACCACCGTTGGAGAAGGCGACCCCTTTCCTGATCGCCTACTTATCTTATATTCACCCTAATTTCCCGTTTCTTTCCAAAGAACAACTGTGGAAGACTCATCATAATCGTCGTGAGTTGGAGGACTATAATTCTAATGAAGCTCGTCATGACCATGTGGTATTGCTGTTGGTGTATGCAATAGGGTCTCGTTGTTTAAAGTTGGTAGGATCAGAGCACGTTGCGGAATCAGAGCCGGAAAACCTTTATCATTCAGCCATGGCAAAGATACAAGACCAACTTAACGTTCCAAGTGTTCAGAATATCCAGAACATCCTGCTGGTGGCCATCTATGCATTACGTTCCCCTTCAGGTTCGTGTTCGCTCTATCCCTTTTGGCACATTCGATCATTTTCCTTTATCTGATGTCTTGTGTTCTCTTCCACATTCAAAACGGACCTGGATTCCAGCTTTGAAGACCGCTTTGTCGACCGGTCTACTAACCATTTCAGTAGGGTCTAGCATATGGCACTTGTGCGGTTTGATGATTAGGCAATGTGTCGAACTAGGACTTCATCGGCAACTAAGAAAAGATATTAGCACAGCAAGCTCTGACGAATTCAAACGGAGACTCTTCTATAGCATCTACCACCTCGAACGCAGAATCGTCCTAGTTCTGGGCAGGCCGTTGACTATAGCTGATGATGAAATCGACACCCCGTTACCTAGAGAGATCGAGGACGACCATTTCCAAGACCCCTCCGAGCTTCCAGAGAGCGGCTGTGAAACCACGGCGTGGAACGAAAACAGTCGGCCACGAGCCCCTCGTACAGGCCCGAGAACTGACATTATATTCCACGTCCACAACATCCGCTTAGATCAGATCAACGCGAAAAGCCGTCTTGCGCTCTCACGTCTCGCCAAGGCAGAACGTGGGACAAAGTTCGAGCAAAAGATTGCAAAGCGATTCCAAGAACTTGAGGACTGGAAAACGGCCATCTTTGGACACTCTGGAGTTGATGAAACCACAGATCTGATGTTTTCCACGGTGAGGACGCCTGTTCAAACACCAGTGTCGCGGCTTGCCATGCCAGAAGCACAGCGCCTGACGCTACTACTCAACTATCACCGAGCTCGCCGTCTGCTTCTTCAGACCATTCTCACCGAAGTCCAGCTGTTCAACCAGCCATTCCCGTTTGCTTCCTTTGCCAAATCATCTGGTGAAGTCTGCCAGCTTAATCGACGACTTCACCGCATACGATCTGTGCCCTTCACGCTGCTGGATCTGCACTCAGTCTTTGTAGCTGGCTTCACTCTGGTCTTTTGCGCGTGGTCTGACCCCAGCCTCTACGACGCTGAAATGGCGGCGGACTTGGGTGCTTGCTCAACTGTGCTGTATTTGATCGCCGAACAGTGGGGGGAAGGGGCGAAGAAATACCGTGATGCCTTTGAGCTGGTCGCGGGCAAGACGGCAGAGTATGTCCTCCGCCCAAAGCGCTCATATACCAGCAGTCAACAGCAGACGGGATCTGTTGGCATCCATGCCACATCTCACTCGGGATCATCGGGTGACACGGGCCTAAGCGGTGCGATGCCACCACCGACCTCTTCTGATGCTATGGAGCAATCCAGTAGTGATTCTTGGACAAAAGATGGCTTCGACGTCTGGCAGATGATGACTGAGTTTGTGCAGACTCAGGACAGTGATTTCGAGTGCGACCCAGTCAATTTTAGAGAGATCGAAACCTTTCTGACGGAAGAAGGCTTGGGTTGGTTCAATGGAGGCACGGGCACGGGCTTCTGACTGCCATGCTACTCAGCAACTCGCCGTTAAGGCCAGGCAAGGGCTCTTTGCACCCTCGAGGCCACGTATATTCCTCAGTCAGACCATTCTCAGTACCGACACATACGAGAGATCTATTGAGTCATCTGGGGTTCGTCTACCATCGCCGGCAGCTGATAAGAGGAAGGGGGCTAGGTTGTGGCCGTTGCTCTCGCCACCAAGTCTTTGAGCTTCGAAGAGGCATTTCGTCTGGATAATCGGATCGGTCCCGACCCGACAACGAGGTCTAGAAACGCGGGACAGAGCTCCAGATCCACAGACCCGCCAGGCTCGGTCAACTGCCTATCGCATTTACGCTTGTGGTATATCGGGTACCTCTGGAATCTTTACCTTTGTGCATGTTTGCGACCATGCGAGTGAGACTGGAGATCGATGGCCCTTGTACAGCTCCAATCCCTTGACATACTCCGAAGCAGAGAATCCCGCTTCCATTACGTTACAGATTCTTGAATTGTCGAAACCCTCTCAACGAGTCTGAATTGGATAAATCCCTGGGCTCCGCCGCCAGAATCATCATTTGAGACCTCAAGCTCCTGTGGTGTGACTGCGTGTAACGACACTCACTCAACCAGCTTCTTGGAGTTCCACCGCTGTTATTCCCTGTTACAAAGTGACCATGATCAAGCAGAGCCCCAAACGCATCTGCTTCGGCATCTTGGTCCCTTCCTCTAATACGGTGCTGGAGCCTCTCACACAACAAATCGTCTCTCAACTCGAGGATGTCTCGGTACATTTCTCACGCTTTCGGGTGTTGAAAATCGCCCTGGATCCCGACGCTTTGGCACAGTTCGACAACAGTGCCATCATCGAGGCTGCACGCTTGCTTGCGGACGCCAAAGTTGACGTGATCGGCTGGAGCGGGACCTCGTCAGGATGGTTAGGCTTCGAAGCAGACTTGAAACTATGCGAGGAGATTACAGCCGCGACCGGCATTCCCGCCACCACATCGGTCCTTGGACTTAATCGACTTATCAAGCGCTTGGGAGTCACGGAGATGGGGCTGTTGACCCCATATACGGACGATGTGCAATCAGCCATAATACAGAACTACCGCGGATTTGGAGTCGACTGCTCTGTTGAGTACCATCTGCGCCAATCCGATAACGCAGGGTTTGCCAATATCTCGGAGAAAACGCTCGATGATGGGTTTTGGCAGTTGACACAGAGAGGAGCTCGTGTCATCAGTGTCTTTTGCACAGGACTCAAGGCGGCGCACTTGGTGGACAGATGGGAGGCCAAGGCTGGTGTCATTGTGTTGGATACCATAGCGACAGTGTTGTGGGATATGTGTCGAATCGCAGAGGTGGACACGAGGTCGATTAAAGGCTGGGGGGTGCTTTTCCAACATTGCTAGCATCAATCTCTTGAGGGACGAGGATATGTGGATTGTACAGCTTTGCATGGGTTTTGTAAGCATTTGAAGAGGCAGGAAAATCACGTCTGTTGATTTTGCATTCACTCTCAGACTTTCTGTCTTTGCTAAGTCCCATGACTGCTCCTACGGGTACCGAGCATAGAACAGACACGGTCATTCATCCAACAAAGACGAGCTGTATCTCTCAGCCATTTATCGTATCAGGGTGTTTCGGACGTGGTCCGACAGCTTCAGTCCCGCTTTTATCATCATCACCATGACCACAATCTACTACTAACAAGGTCAGCATATCCCGCCCTAAGAAATCCCGCGATAGGGCCGTGGTTTCGGACTCACTGATTTGCCAGGGATTCTTATCTCTTCCAGATTTCCCTTTCAGACACTGTTAGACTTCCAGAGTCATCTTGCCCTCCCTTGTTGGATAAATCAATCATCTCTTATCACCACGCAGCTCCCGACCACTATCAATTTGCAGATGTGGTGACCATGACCATCAGTCAACGTGCTCCAGCCTTATGTCCCCTATCTCTGTGGCGTCGGAGACGTTCCGACAGACGCATGTCTTCTGTAAGAGTGAGGTTATTGTATACACCCTTCGATGGCCGGGCTGGGAATATAAAAGAAGACCTTCGCGACTGGCCTGGAACTGATCCACCTTGAGATTCAACTCCATCGAAATTTATAACCCTCTATTCAGTTCGACAAGTGCTGCCCCCACCACATCACACCTCTCCAGCACAATGGACCTGCGGCACTTCTGGGAAGAGTATGTGGTGTTGAAGCCAAAGCCTGGGTCCTTTGGGGCCGACGATGCCGATGCCATCATCTATACCAACGAAGACATGGATCCCATCAAGCGCAAGGACCGCACGTACCAGTGGTACCAGATGGGTCTTTTCTGGATCGCCGAAGGCTTCAATGCCGCCCAGCTACAGGTCTCCAGCTCTGCCTTTTCTCTCGGGCTCAATCCAGGATTGTGTGTCGTCGCCTGCCTCCTAGGCAATATCATCGTGTCTATCCCATGCGCAGCCTCGGGCTACCTGGGGAGTAAACTAGGGGTGAACTTCCCTGGCGTCGTTCGAGCTTCTTTCGGAATGTGGGGTTCCAAATGGGCCATGATCGTTCGCGCTGTACCCTGCCTGATCTATTATGGTATTCAAACGAGTCTCGCTGGTCAAGCGGTTCAGGCATGTATCACGGCTATTTGGCCCTCCTTTCGCCATTGGGAGGTCGACGCCTTCCCAGCATCTGCCAACATCACCGCTCAGCAGCTCCTCTGCTTCGTCATCTTTTGGCTCATCTCGCTGCCATTCCTCTACCTACCGATCAAAACATTGCGCTTTTTGTTCGTGGTGAAGAGCATCATGGTGCCACTCTACTGGACCGCTCTGTTTACCTGGTCTATCACCGCCGCAGGCGGCTGGCCAAAGGTCTGGACGAAACCGAGTATCCCTACTAACGGCATGTCCGTTGGGTACCTCTTCGGAATCTGTGTGAACGCCGCCATCTCTGGGAATGCCACTTTTGCCGTCAACATTATGGATATCTCTCGACACTCCAAGAGCGACAAGGCCGCTTGGATGACTCAGCTTTTTGCGCTCCCGGTATTCGTCACCTTGACAGAGCTGCTAGGATGTACCATGGCCGTGGCCTCCTCGGTGGTTTACGGCGAGGTCCAGTGGAACCCTCTCGTCACCATCAACAACTTTGAAGCGCGAGGAGGAAAGTTCTTCGCCGGCATATTGTTCGTCTTCTTCAACATTATGACCAACGTCACTGGAAACTCGATCCCTTTCGCCAATGATCTTACCGGCCTCTTTCCTAAATACATCAACATCCGTCGTGGACAGTTTATTTGCGCTGTGGTCGGGTTTGCTATCTGTCCCTGGCAGATCCAGGCTAAAGCGACGACCTTCCTAGCCTTTATGGGTGCTTATACCCTGTTTCTGGGCGCCACCACGGGTGTGATGATGACCGACTACTTCTGGGTGCGTCGCGGCTACGGTATCAATATCTCCCACCTCTTCAAGCCGCATGGGATATACTGGTACAACTACGGATTCAACTGGCGCGCTTTCGTGGCCTGGTTCGTGGCCCTAGCACCCTTGCTACCTGGCATGGTCCAGACCATGGGCGTCAAAGTCACCAACAAAGGGATCCTGAACCTTTACTCCTGGAACTATGTCCTCGTGGTCACGTTTTCGGGTCTGTTGTACCTGGCCCTGACCACCGCCTGGCCGATCCCGGTCCGAACCAACGACGAAGATCTGGGCAAGCTCTATCTGATCGATGGCCTCGATCCGGAACTCACCACTGGCATGCTTCCAAGGGGTGAAGATGTTCAAAGTGAAAGTGACGGCAACGCGGGGAGTCGTGAGAAAGGGGCGTTCGAGACCAAGGTAGATGCTCAACCCGTGAGCGGCATGGTCTAGAAGCGGAGAGGCTGGCGGACATTCATGTTTTTGAACACCACGAACGTGAACAGAGGCTGCCTATGTTGGCTGGAGACGGAGGTTGTGTGACCTGGTTCGGGCCTACTTGATATATCCTCATATATACCTACACGCTTGTACCACTGAAACCTTTTTTGGCGAGAGGAATCGCAGGATCAACGTTCCAGTTCTTTCCATCTGTTAAATTCTCTGGTATTCCCTAATTTGTCCGCGTTTAAAAACAGCCGAAATGAATCTCGAGTCTCTACCTTTCTTTTTCCCCCATATCCGAACATGTCAGGGGCTGTATACACCATCCGAATCGACATGGAGCCATCGTGCCTCGAAAACGCTTATATTTCTACTGAATGACAGACTGACTGACTGACTGACCAACCGAGTGGCTAGCCAGCTTCCACGCTTCAAACACCCGTCAGGGCCATCGCCCTCATGAGCTCCTTGCCAAAGGCCATAAGGTCCTCGTCCTTCCCGGCCTGACCGATGACAGTCACACCAAAGGGCATTTTCCTCCCCGCAGGGTTGCGCCACCAGCCGGCGGGGACGCTGACGGCGGCCAAGTCGAGCAGGTTGACAAAGTTTGTGAAGCGGCCCATGACCTTGTTGCGGGCCATGGGCTCCTCGTCCAGCTGCGCCACGGTGAAGTGGTCGACCGTGCTGGGCACGACGAGCACGTCGACGCGCTCGCGGAACTCGATCTCCGCGCGCCGTCGGTGCCTCGCCAGCGTGAAGATGTCGTCGTACGCGCGCACCGCGCTGAAGTTGTTGCTGAGGGCTTGCTCGAACGTGGTCTTGATGGCCGGGTGGAGGGCCTCGAGGCCGTGCGACTTGACGTATGGATCGAACGCGAGCAGTCGCTGCGCCACGATCGACGAGTCGTACAGCATCTGGTTCGCCGCGGCGAAGGGCCCGTAGTCGAATCCATCGGCCTCGACGCACCACCCGCCGCTTCGGGTTCGCAGGGTAGTGACCACGTTCTGGAACAAGCCAGCATAGGTCGGCGAGAGGGCGTCGCGCCACACGTCTTCGGGCGGCGTGGCGACCCGGATGGGCTTCTTCCAGGGGTTCCACAGCGGCAGCTCTCGACGCGCGAACACGTCGCGCTCGTCGTACGCCCGCATCACCGCCCAGGCGGCCTCGACGTCCTCCATCGTCCGACCCATCACGCAGACGCAGTCGATGTTCTTGCACGCGGGGAACAGGCCTTCGGAACTGATGGTGCCCAGGGTGGGTTTGAGGCCGACGACCCCGTTGAACGCCGCGGGGACCCTCGTGCTGCCCCCGGTGTCCGTACACACGGTGAAGGAGACCAGGGACGCCGCGACGCTCACGGCCGACCCGGACGAGCTCCCGCCCGAGATGTACTCGGCGTCGAAGACGCAGCGGGGGATGCCGTAGGGGGAGCGCACCCCGGCCAAACCGGTGGCGAACTGGTCGAGATTCGTTTTGCCCACCAGGATTCCCCCCGCGGCGAGGATCCTCGAAACCACCGGCGCCGTCTCCGTCGGCGTGTACGCAAAGCTCGGACAGGCCAGCGTCGTCGGCACGCCCGCGACGTCGATCGAGTCTTTGATTGAGAAGGGGATCCCGAACAGCGCCGGCAGCGGCTCGTCGTTGGTGTAGTACCTCTTCACCAGGTCTTCTGCGCGCTGGACCGCCTCGGCCTCGGGAACCAGGTAGATCCAGACGGCCGGGTCGCGCTCGCGGTGCGAGGATATTTTGTCGTAGACGTGTCGCACGACCTCGACGGGCGAGAGTTTGCGGGTTACATAGCGTGCGCGCAGGTCGACGATGTCCAGGCTCGAAATCTCGGGCGAGGACGACGGGGTGCTCATAGCTAGGGATTTGTGCTGTCACTCGGTTTGGCTCAGAAAGAAATCTCCTCTCCAATGACTAAGTAGTACGGCAATTGGTAGGTGTGGAAGCAAAGGTGAGCACCAGCACGGAGCAGTCAATTCTGCCGGCCTGGCCTCAGATGCGAAAGCTTTCATCATCCGTCCATGCCCGGTTCTGTAAAAAACACCATTCCACATGTTCGTGTTGTTATCAATTGTCCTGTTAATCCCGTGTTCGCGGTGACTTGTCCTGTTGACCGTCGAGGATATGTAAGTTGTCGGGACTGTTCCGATACACATAGTTTCGCCCATGTACCTATACCTCCTTGTACGAAGTGGGAGGGACTTAACCAAGGCGCGGCGCTTTTCGGACGTTTCCCGACAATAATCTTCTCAAAAGACGCTAGGGCTCCTAAAAAGGGATGTTGCCAAGGCTTGGCGTGATTTGGTCATGTCATTACAAATTCTGCTGGACCAGAAAGCTTGACGGCATCTGGAGAAATCTTCTGTCGGTAGCTGAGAGAGCGAGGGACTGCTGTATACTCGGTAGACATATCCAGAACCCACGGTAGTTAGATCAGCACCTATCTGTCTATGGATAGTGAAATAACCGGTATCGAAGTCCCGAGTCTAATCTAGCGAGACTCGAGCCTGGACAAGGAAAAGGGATCTCTCCATCTATTCTGATGACGCCGCCGAAATGTACACCCTCGCCTCAAACGGCTGCAAGATCTTCTCCCCCGGATCATCGACATTTGCAACAGCGAGGTTAAAGTCTCGACCATCCAATACGGCCGCAGGAGTCCATTCTCTTTCTTTCGTGGACATGTTGGCCACCGTCACGGATTTCGTCCCGTCATCGCCCTCTTTGGCGAAGATGACCATGTTCCCATCAGCATTGTCAGTCTCGACCTCGCGGAACTTGCCATAGACGAAGACGTCCTTGTGCGTCTTCCTCAGGTGGACCATCTGTTTCCAGAATTCCAGGACGCTGCCCTTGCGACCGACTTGGTCCGCCACATTGATGGCCTCGTGGGACTCCAGCACGCTCATCCACGGCTTTACGTCGTCGGGGCAGAAGCCGGCGTTTTGTGGGGGGCCTTCCCATTGCATGGGCACGCGGGCGTGGTCTCGCGCCGTCCTGTGCAGGACATCCAGCGCCTCAGACAGCGCGGCGGGGTCATTTTGGGACTTCTCTCGAACCTCGCTCAGGTGTGACACCGACTTGATGCACTTGTACTCGTCGGCCGACCACGAGCGCGGGGCGTTGATCATGCCAATCTCCTGGCCCTGGTAGATGAACAGCGTCCCCGTCAGCGTGGCCAGGATGGCTGCCAGCATCTGCGCGGCCCGCACCCGATACTCGGGCAGGTCGGAGGTGAAGCGCGACACAGAACGGCCCTGGTCGTGGTTCTCCAGGAACACGGTCGTCCAGGCGTCGGTGTTCTCAATCACCGACTGCCACTTGAACAGCTCGCGCTTAAAGTCGGTGGTGGTAAAGGGCCGCGGGATGAAGCGGGCCCCCGGGGTCTGGCCCAGGTCGACCACGTCAAAGTTGAAGACCATGTTCAGCTGCTTGTTGCGGGCCGAGATGTAGGCCATGACGTCGGCTTCGTTGGGTGTGTATGGCAGCTCGCCGACCGTCATGGTGTCGTACTGGGCGAGGATGTCGTTGATCTCGGCCAGGTACTCTTGCATGCGCGGTCCGTTGGCATAGTACATCATGGCCGGCTGCGACTCGCTGTCCGGGTAGACGACCGGGGCGTCTGGCAGTCCCGGGTGTTTGGAGTAGAGGTTGACCGTGTCGATGCGGAAGCCGTCGATGCCCTTGTCCAGCCAGAACTTGATGGCGCTCCGGTAGATGGCCTGTCTGCACTCTGGGTTTTCCCAGTTGAGGTCGGGCTGCTCGGGCGCGTACAGGTGGAGGTAGTACTCCTGGCTGGTCTCGTCCCAGGTCCAGGCGGGCTTGGAGAAGTTGCTGCGCCAGTTGTTGGGCCGACACCGTTTGCCATTGGCGTCGTACTTTGCTGGGCGCCAGATATACCAGTCCCTCTTGGGGTTGGTCTTGGAGGAGCGCGACTCTTGGAACCAGGCGTGCAGGCTGGAGGTGTGGTTGATGACCAGGTCGAAGATGATGCGCATGCCGCGGTCGTGGACGGCCTTGATGAGGGCGTCGGTCTGCTCGAGGGTGCCGTAGGGCTCGTGGATGTCCTCGTAGTCCTGGATGTCGTAGCCCATGTCGACCTGCGGGCTCTTGTAGTGCGGACACACCCAGATCACGTCGACGCCCAGGGCGCGGATGTAGTCGAGCTTGGACATGATGCCGGGGATGTCCCCGACGCCATCGCCATTGCTGTCCTTGAAGCTGGCCGGGTAGATTTGGTAGACGACGGCCTCTTTCCACCACTTGTGGTCGTGCTGGTGGTGGAGAACTTCGATCATGGTTCTGATTTAACTATATGGATGGGTGGATGTAGAGGAAGTATAGATGTATAAGGAGGGGGGGGGGGGGGGGAATTGTATGTTTTATCGACAACTTCTATTCCAACTTCTTACGGGAGGTTGGCGTCGTTTGATATAACATTTACAAACACTACAAGAAGGGGAAAAGAAGCACCAGTGTCCTACCCATTCGTCCATCTCACACAAGGCCCATCAGAGGAAGTCGACAAGGGGGCACACGTCGCTCCTCCGCCCTCTGACACCCGGACATTTTCTCGCAGATTTGTACAAGTAACCGACCAAAGAAAGATTCCACTCCACCTACCCACCTGTGGGGGTTTATGATCATTCCATTCCGTTCATTCATCAAACTATTTCCCATCACAATTACCTGCCGAGGAGAGAGAGAGAGAAAAAACTCCTTCTTGTCAGATGGCCTGATAGAATTGAGCCCATCAGCGTCCCCAGTCAGTAGAGGTCGTCGGCAAAGGCCCCCGTCAAGCGACGCCCAAGCGACAGCCGATCGGCTACGCATCCACGGGAACCCATTTCGGGCCATGGCAATGGATGGTTTTCTGCCTCTTTTGCCTCTTTGGGATCGGGAAAGTTGCATCTGACGGTCATCCTCCGCCCGTAGCGTAAGCGACGCAGCCGACGCAGGAAGGTTTAGTCTTTTCTTTCCTTTTCTTCTCGTACAAGATTCATGGGAAGAGGCTGGTGCCTTCATATCAACTAGATGACTCGGCGATAGATGAGAAAAGTGAGAAAATCTACTAACAGAGAATCTCGGCTGTACCCCAGACATTCGTTCTCCCCCCTGGTCTGTCCGTATATCCACGTCCCACGTCCCATGTCCATGTGTTCTGTCTGTACCATGTGTCCGGTATAAACTAAATACCTCCACTTTTAACCCGTGGGGACTCGTGAGGAACAACCTGACTGACTTGACTCTCACCACGGGGTCTAGGGTCTGTCTAACTGGGCAGTTGGACTAGTCAGAAAGTCGTGCTCGCCACTGCTAAGCTCCCTCCTCTCCTGTCTTGCTATATAACGGCACTTTTTCGTCCTTTGGCGAGTCCGTGGACATGGGTCTCTTCCTCCTCCTCCTCCTCCTCCCACACACTCTTGCCACTGTCGGTCGGTCACTCAGTTGAATCGAGTCGACAGATCCTGCGTATTAAGTCCCTTCTTTCTCAAAACTCTTTCCCGCCCTCGTCCACCAATGGCGCACGTCGAGGACATCAAGGTCCCCGTCGAGGCCAATGCCGAGCCTCTCAGCGCTCAAAAGGCCATCATCCAGGAAGCCCAGGCGGCCGCAGAGGTCGAGCAGGAGCTCGGCCTGTGGAAGTCGATCAAGCTCTATCCCAAGGCGATCTGTTGGTCGGTGCTCCTGTCGACCGCCATCATCATGGAAGGATATGATTTGCTGTTGATGTGAGTATATACATACCCATTTTGGTCTTCTAGTCCATTGACCAACCCCCTAATATGTCCTTACTGATTTGCGGGAAAAAACAGGGGTTCTTTCTACGCCTTGCCTCCTTTCCAACAGCGATACGGCAAACAGCTAGCAAACGGCGAGTTCCAAATCCCCGCCCCGTGGCAGTCGGGCCTGTCCAACGGGGCCACCGTCGGCTCCATCTTTGGGCTGATGCTGAACGGATACGTCTCGGAGCGGTTTGGGTTTCGAAAGACGATGCTCGGCGCCCTGGCCCTGATCTGCTGCCTGATCTTCATCCCCTTTTTCGCCCCGAGTCTCGAGGTGCTTCTGGTCGGACAGATTCTGATGGGCATACCTTGTAAGTTTCACACGTCTCCTCAAACGTCCCTCTCCCGAAGCAAGGATATTCTGGAGTAATCATGCTGACGGGCGCAAAAAAACTGATCAAAATCAGGGGGCATTTTCCAGACTCTTCCCACCGCGTATGCGGCAGAGGTCACGCCAACTCACCTGCGAGCCTATCTCACCACATATGTCAATCTCTGCTGGGTATGTGTGCGCGGGCGCAGTTTTGTCTTGATACTTTTCCAGTAACTTGGCGCTGATATTTCGGGGGACCGTCTAGGTCTTTGGCCAGCTTCTCGCATCTGGAGTGCTGCGTGCCCTGCTCACGCGCGATGATCAATGGGCGTATCGAATGTGAGTGTGTCTACCTAGAAAGACATGAACCTCCCAACAAGAGTCCACAACCCCGGCAACTGACCCAAACAAACAGCCCTTTTGCCCTGCAATGGGTCTGGCCGATCCCCCTCATCGTCGGCATCTCCATGGCCCCTGAATCCCCATGGTGGCTGGTGCGACAGAACCGCCTCGCCGACGCAAAAGCCGCCCTCGCCCGGCTCACCTCCCACAACGCCGCCGGTTCCGTCGACCTCGACAAAGCGGTGACACTGATGGTATATACCACCGAGCATGAGAAGGAGCTGGGCACGGGCACCTCGTACTTGGACTGCTTCCGGGGCGTCGATCTGCGCAGGACGATTGTCGCGTGTGGGTGTTGGTTGATCCAGACGCTGTCGGGGGCGAGTTTCCGGTATTTCCCCCCCTTTTTCTCTCTCATATCATATCATATCCCTACCCATTTACTTCGTCCGTGCTTCCTCTCTTCTTTCCTTGGCTTTGGCGCATCCCAGCCTATCATGTATTTTCATATCACATATGCACCCTATCCCCTGCAAAGCAATGACCTAACTGACCGTGACCGTAACAGCACGTACTCGACGTACTTTTACAAACAGGCCGGCCTCCCCACCGACCAGGCCTTCAACATGTCCATCGGACAGTACGCGCTGGGCATCGTCGGCGTCCTGATGGCGTGGTTCCTCCTTCCCCGCGCGGGCCGCCGGACCATCTACCTGCTCGGGCTGGCGTGCATGATGACGCTGCTGATCGTCATCGGCATCCTGGGCGCCGTGTCGAACCCGCCGACCACGGGCGTCGCGTGGAGCGTCGGCTCGTTGTTGCTCGTCTACACCTTCTTCTACGACGTCTCGGTCGGCCCCGTGTGTTACAGTCTGGTGTCGGAGATCCCTTCGGTGCGCCTGCGCAGCAAGTCCATCGTGCTGGCCCGCGCGTCGTACAATTGTCTGAATATCGTGACGGGGGTGATTACGCCGTACATGTTGAATCCGGGGGCGTGGAATGTGAGTCTTCCCCATCCCTTTCCCCCTTCTCCCTTTCCCCCACCTCCCGTTCCCATCATCCTCCTTCATCTCTATTCCATCTCTGTTCCACCTTGGTATGGATAACTGACGATGACGATGACGCAAAGTGGGGCGCCAAAACCGGCTTCTTCTACGGCGGCACCTGCGTCCTCAGCGTGCTCTTCACGTACTTTTGCATCCCCGAACCAAAAGGCCGCACGTTCGCCGAGCTCGACATCCTCTTCCACAAGAAGACGCCCGCGCGCATGTTTGCAAAGACGCACGTGAGTCTGTTTGAGACGACGGCGTTGGATGGCCAGGCGGGCTTGGAGAAGGAGTGATTACCACCTACCCTGTCTGTCATGTCATGTCAGTTTATCAGTCAGTCATGCCTGGTAAGGACGTGGCATTGAGGATGGCATCAAGGATATTAATTAGGGGTGTGAGTGCCGATGGTATCGCGATATTATCGGGTCCCTTGGTAGGGCAGTGGTAGTTTGTGTGAATACATTGTGCATACCTACTGTATGTAGTACATCGTGGGAGGCCGCATGTGTGCCCGTGTGGGAGGCTTGTACAGATTCACTTTCTGATTTCAGTTCATCAAGTTCTGTAACAAAGTATTCAAGTGATTCTGAGTCACATCGATAATTTATTCTTTCTAGATGGACATTGTATGTGGCTCTTCTTCCGTTTCTGCCACTGCCACTGCCACCCGAATGCTCTCCGCCGTATTATCCCAGTTGTGACTACGTGACAGGGCAAGGTGTGACGGGCTATCTAGATAAACGGAGGTGCAATGCCGAATTTCTCGGTGCACAAGTACCGACAATCGACGCGGTCGGACCGCTGGCCCTGTAACTCGACGACGGCCGCCAGAAAACGCGCCATAAAGGCGCTCTGATATATCGGTTTCTGCACCCGCTGGAGCATCTGCACGGCCCAGTTGCCGCCCTCTTGGTCGGCCTCGAGCGCGTAGAAGAAGATGGGCCACATGAACCCCGGGTTCACGGCGGCGTGGTTGCGCGCGACGTTGTCGTCGACGATCCGCCGGACTTGGCGCAGCGCTTCCTGTGCCTCGGGTGTCGGCGTCAGCCATTGTCCGTGCGCGCGGCCGAGGTCGACAATCTCGATCTGATACGCCGCGTTGCACAGGTCGATCAGCGTCGATAGCTCGTCGAGGAGCGGTTCGGGAACGAGAGCCTGGAGCTGGTCCCTGTTCAGCCGTAAAAGGCTCGGCGCCTGCTGCCGCAACAGGGCCAGTTGCTGTCGGATCTTCAGGGCCGTCTGGTCTACTTCGCTTTCGTCGGCCAGGGTGCCCCTCGAGCGGTGATGGCGGTTCAGACCGCAGATCGATGCCCCGATTTGCTGGGTCTGAATGTAGAATTCGAAAAGGGGAGATGCTAGCCCGTCATACAGAATCGATGTTGGAGGAGGATCTCGGTCCAGAAATATCAGACTGGGTGTCAGAGTGGCGGCGTTGTACGAGAACAGATGGCTGACTTTTGCCGACATGAAGCCTCTCCCCCCGAGATGCAGCGCCTTGACGTGTAGTAGCTTCAGCCATGTCTCGATGCGGCATACCACGGGCGGCCACGGCCGCTGCTGGATCCAACGCTCCAGCTTGATCACAAAGGGACCTTCGGATTTCATCATGGTCGGCACAGTGTCTTGCTGAGAGACTACCTCAAAACAAGCCAACAGCGCCATCACGATAAAGGTGAACTCGAGGTCGGGCTCTTGGAACCGCAGCATTTTGGCGTGGTCGGCTTTGGCGGCGTAGTATAGAGAAATGGCATTGGACGTCTCTTGGCCGAGTTCTTCGGCTTCGTAGAGTGCCTCGACGGCTGATATCGCAGAGGCTATGACCGGACTGCGAGCGCTCAGCATGACCATGTAGCGCTTGATGCGTGCCCAGTTTTCTCCGTCAAATGTCGAGATGAATGGAAACTCTACCTTTTCGACAAAGTACGGAAATCGAGCGACAGATGGCAGCATGGTCGTCGCGGGCTCCTCCGTAATGGGGTTTGGTGGAAGGTCCGTGTACGCATCGCCGAGCCCTGACATGGGCGACCCCACAGCAAGCCTGGGTGCGAGTAAAGGGTCTAGGTTGGGATCGGTAGCAGGAAAACCGACGGCGCCCTGGTCTGGTCGTATTACTCCCGAGGTGAGATCGAATGTAGATTGCGACCACGCTTCGTAGGTGACGAACGGTGAGAGTGGGAAGTCCAGTGCTGGAAGGACATCTTGGGCTGTGGCCATGGCTGTTAGAGGGAGAATCCCTTGGTCCATGCTCGTCCGAACCCTCTTGGGACTGCGCTCTAGAATGGCGTCTACGTCTGGGTAGACGCAAACCCGATTAAGTCTACTGCACTAAGAGAGGTCAGTCAGAGGAATCCCACGTATAAATGAGGTGCATGCACAGGTTACTCGTACATTCAGGCAGTTGGGCTTCTCCTCGCTACATTTCACCTTTCTTCCGCGACAAGTGAGACATCCTGTAGGACTCTGGGATTAGCTATTTGCTTTTGAGGCGTAGAATTCAAGAACCATAACACACCGCTCTTAGTGCGTGATTTAGGGAGTCCAGATTGTCCACTCCGACTGTACGAGAAGGTAGAAGTTGTGGAGGGCATTTGGCACGCTTCGAAATTAAAGCTTAGCTTGGGCAGGCGTCGGTCTCCTTGGTCTGAAGCGAAAGGCACGAGTGGTGATATTGAGGAGGGTGAGCAGCAAGAGGGAGAGGCTGAAGAGGCTGGATCCCTGATGATGCCAAGAAAGAAGATGCGGGGTAAAGTAGAGCAGCATCACACCATTCCAGATTTGGGTGATTTCACTTGCTAATTTTGGGCACAAGGCTGAGGTACAAGGCTGGTTGGAGCATCGGTCACCAAGTGGTACGCACGCAATGATCGATCGTGATGACGAATGTTACCAACTCAAGCTCTCTCGAGAGGAGGAAAGAAACTTAGTTCAAAGTTCGCAGTGAGTTAACCGCAGGGCTGACGATCCGACAAACACGACGGACCTTGCCTTAGATCAAAGGCTTATCGCGCAGATGCTTTGCGCCGTGGCATGTCGTTTGCTTGGAAGCGGCTATAACGGCTTCTGAACTTGACAGAATCAATTACCACGCCGAGATTTGGGAAAGACTTTCTGTTTGGCCTCCCATGACGTGAAGAGTAATTGGTGGATCGACCAGGTAGGCTCTACCAACAGTGGAAGTCGTACCCAGTGTCGGAGTGAGTCGGGGTATCGTGTAACAGTAATACGTTGGACGGAGTACTAAACACTTCCTGTGAGCCCCCATGCAACAAACGTTACATTTCTCTTCATTGCTTAGTCACTCATAGCTTCACCTTGGGTGCCTTGTCGCTAGGGCGCCGTCCGTCCAATGGCACCCCCAGTCGGAGGTAGTGACTCACCCAATATCGAGTTTGGTGCACTCGTATGTAGTAATTACCACAGACACGTCTCTCAGCTCCGGTCCAAGCTGTTTGTCCTCTGTCACCAGCTGGAGGACGATGGCCAGCGAGAGAACCACCAACGATGGCGAAGGTCTCGAGCTTCAACAACCAACAACCTCGGGAGACGAGGGGACACCTCGAGAGCAGCTGCGGGATCATGACTATCCAACTGGACTGCGGTTTATCCTTTTGACCATTGGACTGGTATTGACGATTTTCCTGTCGGCCCTGGACACGTCCATCATCTCGACCGCCATACCAAAGATCACGGATCAATTCGGCACGGTCAAGGACGTGGGCTGGTACGGATCGGCGTATACCATTTCTAACGCTGCGTTTCAATCAACGTGGGGAAAGGCTGTAAGTCGACCGTCCAGAGGAACATATATTACGCCGTGATCATGATGGCTGATTGTTGCGAGTGGCAAACAGTATAAATACTTCTCGTTCAAATGGACCTTCCTGCTCACAGTCTCCATCTTCGAGCTAGGCAACGTGATTTGTGCAGTGTCTCCCAGCAGCTCAGTCTTGATCTTGGGAAGAGTCATTGCTGGGATGGGTGGTGGAGGGGCCATGACAGGAGCCTTCATCATCATCGCCTTCAGTGCAAAACCACAATACAGGGCCGCGTATATGGGGGTCCTGGGCTTGACGTTCGGCTGTGCCAGTGTGGTTGGGCCTCTCTTGGGAGGCATCCTCACCGACGGACCCGGCTGGAGATGGTGCTTCTGGTGAGTATTGCGGTTTACGCGGTTTCCCGAGCTATAAAGATTGATGTCTTTTCCAGGATAAGCTTACCCGTTGGAGCCCTGGCGGCGACTACTACAGCTCTCACCGTCAAAGTGCCGTCGGTGCCTGAGTCCATACAGGTCTCGTTAAGAGAGAAGCTGATCTCGTTAGATCTAGCCGGCAGTCTACTTGTCTTGGGTGAGTTGCCTTCTTTGCTAGAACCGAAGTTACTTGAGGAGCTCGGCTAATGCAGGGGTCGTCAATAGGCTCTATGGCTTGCCTGGTGCTCGCACTGGAGAAAGGGGGAGTCTCATCCCCGTGGAGCAACTGGCACGTCGTCACCAGCCTGGTAGGCTTCGTGGCGCTGCTTATCGTTTTCAGCATCAACGAGTGGTGGATGGGCAGTCGCGCCATGATCCAGGCACATTTACTGAAGAAACGATCTATTGCGGTCAGCCTGGTGTTTCAAATTTTTATCGCCGGCCTGTTTTTCCCACTATCTTTTGCGCTGCCGATCCAGTTCCAGTCAGTCGGAAATGCATCGGCGTCAGAAAGTGGAATCCGGCTGATACCTTTGATCCTCGCCGTTTCCGTGTTTACCATGATCGCCAACGGGCTGCTGACCTTTTGGCGGCACTACACGCCTTTCCTCGTGATAGGCGCCATGGCAGGTACGCTAGGGGTGATCATGGTTCACACTCTGGACGCCAGCGCTGGTCTCGGGTCGTGGATAGGCTTTGAGATCTTGACAGGCATGGGTGTGGGTCTTGCTCTCCAGGTGCCAATGATCGCGAATCAGGCGGCGGTAGGGATCGAGGATATGGCCGCCGTGACCTCGTTGACGCTCTTCTGCGAAAACGTGGGGACCTCCATCTTCATCGCAGCCACTGAAGCCGCCTTCACCAACGGGTTGGTCTCGGCTCTAGGGCACAATGTCCCCCAATTGAATCCTGAGATTGTGGTCAATACGGGAGCGACCGAAATCCGGCAGCTGTTTGGCAAGAAGCAAATCCAGGGGATCCTGAGGTCGTACCTGAAAGGCTGCCAGGCCTCTCACCTGGTGCCCATGGCGTGTGGATCAGCTGCCACTCTGGTGTCGATGATTGTTGCAGTGCCGTCGGTGAGTCAGTCATGGGAGAAGTGGAAGCACAAAGCGCATTCTCGGTAAAGAGCCTGGGCGTGGCTCACGGTCACAGTCGCTCGCTAGCTTTGTAGGAACAGACAAGTACGAGGTAGTTTGTCTTGAGTGTGTAAGTTGTGGGTTGTGATTGGGGCAAGACGGAAGTTGCACAGAGGCGGTGTGCGAGCAAAGACTGCGACACCCGTAACCACCTGCAACCACCGCCAACCCCATTACCAAATTCCATCGCCAATCTGCGCCAGTCTACCAGCTTGGCTCCAGTCGTTGTCAATCTATTGCCTGTCTCTGCCATGCCCGCCAATAATGTATCTGTGATCCGTCTGCAGGAGGAGGGACAATACAGACATTACCTTGAGGGGGCTAGGTCATCCGACTACACCACACTACACCGCCGACCTCTACGCACGCATTCCGCCTTTCTCATCCTCCGTCACATGGATTTCTGTTGAGACCCTAGGCCTCTTTGGTCTGGTTTTGCCTTGCCAATGGCAAAATGGCGACATACCGAGATACACTACCGTTCTGCTTGTCGGGGATCTCTCTGGCCGACGCCTTTCAAGATTCCCACTTTGCGTCTCCGTTTCCATGCATCATCAACCGCCCACAAGCGCCCACTTGGTTATTCCTCTTGGACATGTCCACGTCCTGTCGTCCACTCTCCAGAGGCCCAGAGCGAAATACCGCGACCCCTAGGACGTGGCGGCAAAACTCCCCCTCTCTCCATCGCCATCGAGGCTTAGACTCGCACAAGCGTCCCGCCGCGACCAAACGGACCTTCTACTTCGTCTCTAGAGGCAATCTGCGCTTCCCAAACAGGTGAATCCGACCCTGGCATGGCCAGCTTTTTGCTGCAGGTTTGGGCTGGTGACCGATGACCTACTGGTGCATCGACCCTCTTCAGAAAATCTTCGACTTCTAAATTAAATTTATTGTATTGATTTCTCGGTCTGTTCGTTACCCTGCATCTGTTCTCCTTCTGTGTTTCAAACATGGTAGAATGCCCACAGGGTGATTTCGCGGAGACTGTACGAGGTATGGATATAAAGAATTCTTTATGACAACGCCGAGCTGGTCCTCGCCATCAATGCCTGCTTCACCTATTCGATCTCCCGCGCTCTGGTGACAGCAAGAGACTGCACCCACGCCACTTCTCCTTTGTTCTGCGCGCCCAAACGATCCGGAAGCCTTCGTCGGGTCACGTATGCCACAGTTTGGGGACGCCAGGCCCTCTGAGAGACTATTACTCCAGCTTCACCACAGTGCATTTCCACGCCCGAGACTTATGAATGACATGACGACGATACGAATAATGAGCATACGGTACGACATGACGGCCACTTGTGACGACACTGCCGAGGTGTCTGATACCGAGTCCTTCCACTCGGCCACTTCAAATGTCACCAAGAAAAGCTCCAAGCGTTGGAGCTCGCCTGCCCAGAAGGCCGCGATAAAGGCAGATTGCCTGATCCATCATCAAACAGTGCTGAAGAGACCGCGATCGCGGACGGTTTGCTCTCAGTCATCGGCCTCGTCCAAAGCATCCCATCCTCAACACAGTCCTCGACACTCGCGGCACAACTCCGTATCCATCCCCTCCCGACAAAGCAGTCTTGCGAGGAAACGGCGTCGATCGCGTCAGGATTCCATAGCGCTGCATCGCCAGAGCTGCCAGATTTTCTCCTCCCTGGACGGAGTTTTGGCCTTGAGCAGGGACATCACACCACTGCCCAGCGCTTCGACCTCGCGAACAACAACCCGGCATGCATCCATAATCCCCGAGGACACCCTGGACCAGGAGAGTATCCGGCGCATGTGTGAGAAGATCAACGCCAGATTAACGGCTGTTGAGCACCAACAACATGATCAGTCAGACCAATATCCCGACACTTATGGCTTCTCGTACGCTCTCCCAGCCAGCGTCAACGGTCGCTCTCCGACCCTGCACTCGGATGTTATGCCACGGCTGTCCAAAATCAATACCAGATACGCCGAGTCGGCAACTGTCTCTCCCGTTACAAGCCCGGGAAGACCAACCTTGAACACCGTGATATCTTGGACCTCGAATGCAACGCGGCGCGTTGAGTACGAGAAAATCGACCGCGCACACAGCGGTGTCAGGGGTTTCCTCCGCAGAGTCATTCCCCGGTGTTTCCGACCCAAGCATGGACGGAGAGCCTTTTTCACAGGTGAATGTGACGGAGACAGCGTGAGAAGGTTTCGACTGGACGTCAGTGATGATGAAAGTGACGCGGAGCATCACGAGGGAGACGACATTCGCAAGGTTTCCGAAAGTACTACGTTTGAAGTTGAGAAGGGCAGTCCAAGCGTGAAAGTCGAAGTGGGAGCAGAAAAAGAAGACACCCACAGTCGCAAAACTGTCGCCAGGGGTGCCAAAGACGGAGGAGAGCACAAGGATAAAGCTCGAAAATGGTCGTGCTTCGACTTATAACAACACTAGCAGCCGCTTAGGCTTCTGACCTAGGGTGCGACGAGAGCCTCCGGTCGGTCTAGCTGCATCAAACACTTGCAGCAGTCGCATATTGTATTCTTCCGTACGACGATTCCATCGACATGAATTTTCTTTCGATCCTTATGTGCCCGGCAGAGTCAACTTGTCCGTTCATATGATACCATGAGATGCGCTCCTTTCTTTTTGAGGATGACCTGAAGATACCCGTCATGATCAGACTAATCCTGGAGGAATTTCTGGGGTTGTTCAAAATTGTACATAGGAAGCCAGATCAGACAATGAGCTGTAGAACCCTGGTAACGAGACGATGCGGCTCTGGTAATGTCTTGTTCCCGTCCCTCATAAAAAGGTCGATTTGGCTTCCCTTCATCGTGTGAGACCTCGAGTAGCATGATAGTCCAGTGCTTGCTGCTGAGCGTATAAGTCAAGTGGAGGCGCAGGAGGCGCATCTGGGTCGCAGTCTGAGCCCTATGTGTGTGATAATGAAGCCTGCATATCGTCTCCATGATCGGTGTCTGCGCTTATAGTAGGCTTCTTGCTTGCACAAATCCAGGCTGAAGGCTGAGCATAGCATAAGGAATCAAGATACTCGGCCGGGACTCTGGAGGGTGATGAGTCGTGCTCATGCGTCTATGCAGCCTGTGCCCTACGAATTCGTTGGCGTCTTGATCGGCATGCACTTGCTTCGAATCCCAAGCAGCAAAAAAGGTGCACGGTTCCGAGGGTGTCGGTAGAGATTGCAGCTTGCTTGTATGGCTCAAATGAGCCTGAGGGTCCCATCTCTTCATCACCTCACAGCAAGTCAAAGTCATCCAGTTTTTCCCTGTACTCCAAAACCTGCCTCTTGACTTTACTTCCATCGACCCAGGTCACAAAGTCCTCCATGCCCCTTGAGACAAGGAACGCCGGGTCGGTAACCACTTCAGTGCCCACTCTTACATGGCCCTGTTCAACAAACTTATGTGCCGTGGCGACATGTTCCACCATGCCGATGCGGACCATCACTATGCCCAAGCGGCGACGACAGAATGCGCTGACCGTCACGTCCTTTTCCACCGACGACAGCCCGGCGCCTTGGCTGCGGTTCTGCTTCAGGATCCCGATCTGGTGCAATTTTTCAAGCATGACACTCTCCATTTCCACGCGGTACGGATCCGCGGGGTCGAGATTCGACAGTAAGTGCGCGAGCTGTCTCAGGCGACCGCACAGGGCATTGTATTTGGAGTAGTCGAGCGGGTGGGTGAGATGATATCGGCGCCGGATAGCGGCTTCACGATGAGAGGGACCGTCGGATTTGTAGGTGAGGAGGTCGACTTTGCGGAGGAGCCGCTGCTCGTGGTGCTTGAGTTTACGGACCATGATTCTGGAGTAGAAAAAAACCTGAAGGGGGAGTGACGGTGAGTGTCTAAAGTGGTAGGGAATATTGTCCGAAAAAAATAATTTGTTTTGGAGAAGCAGCGGGGATTGGACGGCCGCTTTAAGGCACTCACAGCCTCACAAAATGTGACGAGGCTGTGGTCCAGGGGGGAGGTGTATGCCGACAATAGCTTCGTTGTAGAGCATACTACCTTGATATTGGCTTGTGTCGACGATCAAAGAGCTTTCTTGTCAAATACGCAGCCACTGCGCTGATGATTTACAGCATGGTCCTATAAGCATGGTTGGCTCTGGAGCAGCGAATACGACCCATCGCAAGCTGCACTTACGGTGTATCTGTAACCTTCTGTCTGGACTTCTACAATTAGGATTTTCTGTTCAAGAACGACAAGCCGACGAAAGGTTCAAAAAACTGGCTGTCAGTTCTTCACAGACCTCTGGCGTCCTCTGCACCATCTAGGCGACCGCCCTAAGATTCCCGCATCTAGAACTGTTATGGATCGACGACAGTAGACTTTCCGCGAGATGAGTTTTGTAGAGACACGACACAGAGGTCCTTGACGACAGGCAGGCGACTGACCGACCTGTATTTTGGACAAAGCTGGGCGTTGATGAGATGACATTCTGATCAAGCGTTCACGACAGTCTCACAGATCTTTCAGATGTCGTGTCTTGTTGTGATGACAAGGGCGAATGAATCCAAATTGGTGATGGCCTGGCCAGCCACGAAAACTCGTATGGTGTCTGAGGTTCTGTGTCCACCAGACATTCGACTGGGCAGAGAGCCAGGACGGTGGGATTCATGCTCCCGTGGCCCGAGAATTTGTCCGATCCTATTGATCATGCCTTTCTACTGAATGGCATACCTATCAGTGACCTGTCCAGCTCCATCTTAATGCCGAGGATATACGCTGACTTGTGGATTTTCTACACGAGAACGAAGGATTGCCTTTGCCGTACGCTTGCCGCATATCGCCTCGCTACGACCCAGGCACACAACTCCTGTGGTTTCACCTTGTTTCATTTCCACCCCTTCTGGAGTCGAGTGCCCAGCTTTCAACGTGTAAAATTGGATGCCTGATGTTCCAGGTCCCGCATCGAACATCGAGCCAAAGAGGAGGGGGTGCGGAGTATCTGTCCGGGACATGGATCGTGCTGTGGGATCGTTGCGAGTTTATACCCTCGCTGACCAATTCATGGACAGAGGGGAAAAAACTCTCCCGGACTTAAATTCTTCCTCCTCATTAAGAAGGGCCAGGCATCTCGTACATTAACTCAACACTCCTCAATTAGAGTCTGAACAAACACTGTAACTACTTGTTGTGTGCGAAATCTCTAATCCATTGTGGAACCGCCAATCAAAACTCGCTACCATGAAGGCTATTGTGATGGATGGTGAGCCTGGAAAGGCGTCGTTCGTCACCGACCGGCCTCACCCAAAGCACAGGCCAGGATACGTCCATGTCGATGTCAAAGCGGTTGCGTTGAACCCTACCGACTGGAAACATATTGACTACATGAATGAGAAAGGTCTCCTAGTGGGCTGCGACTACTCTGGAGTGGTTGCAGAGACAGGAACCGGCTACTCGAAACAGTGGAAAGTCGGTGATCGAATCTGTGGCTTCGCGCACGGATGCAATGAGTTGCAGCCTGAAGATGGCGCATTCGCCGAGCGCATCGCAGTCAAGGCTGATGTGCAGATCCGCGTTCCGGACAACATGTCGTTTGAAGAGGCAGCGACATTGGGCGTGGCTGTTATTACTTGTGGGCAAGGACTCTTCCAACAGATGGGCTTGGAAACACCCTCGCAGCCTTCTACCAAAGGCGAGTTCATCCTGATATACGGAGGCAGCTCCGCAACCGGTTCCATTGGGATCCAATTTGCAAAGCTGTAAGTGCGAAATGCCATTGTGGGACTGGTTGGTGCTGACCTGATAGGGCTGGATATAAACCCATTACTACATGCTCTCCACGTAACTTTGATCTGGTCAAATCGTTGGGAGCAGTCGCCGCCTTTGACTACAATGATCCAGAGTGTGCGACCAAGATCAAGGAATATACCAATAATGATCTCAAGTATATCTGGGATACCATCTCCCTGCCCCAAACAGCCAAGCTCTGTTCAGAGGTGATTTCATCTGGAGGGAATTATGGCGCGATTTTGAATGTCGAATTCCCCCGGACAGATGTCAAGACCACCTTCAATTTGGGATACACTGCGACCGGAGAACCCGTGAAGAAGCGCTTTTTCGAGAGCCAAGACAACACCAAGGACTTCGAGTTTATGAAAAAGTGGATTGAAGAGGTCGAACCCATTTTGGAGCACGGACGCCTGAAGGTTCATCCTCCCAAGGTGGGTAAGGGCCTCGAGCACGTCTTGGAAGGATGTGATTTGTTGAGACACGACAAAGTGAGTGGGCAAAAGTTGGTGTATGTCTTGTAAGGACGGGGAAGGAGATTCTTGTCGTCGGGTCAGGCTGAATGATTTTCCTGGTCGTCGTCGTCATCGCTAGCCTTGTCCGATGAAGGGGCCGAGGAGAGGGGTTGTGTTTCCACACAATACCGAGTAATGATTTACAACAAAGTCAGCCTTGCTAGCGTCAAAAGCGCGAGGGAGGGTAATCCAATCTGAGGTCAACATGAGGGCGAATACCTTTTCCTGATTTCCACTGAACTGGGTGGGAGATTGATAGTCGCACTGCCTCGCTCGCAACTGGACGCGTGTTGGGATGATCTGTGCCTCGTACTCGGTAAATGTTGGCTGTGGTGTTGTGGTGCCTGCAGGTGTGGAGGAGATTGGGAATTGTCCCTGTCATTTAACGGTCAAACCAACGCAGAGTTGTCAGGATTTATGTCATTTGAATCTGTGCCTCCAGACGCCCTGGGCGGTGGTGCCGCCCCTAAACTCATACACATCTTGCCCGTAGCTGTCACTTTGACCACTGCGCGCACCCACTTGACACCCCCCAAGAGGCCCCGCCATCCCCTACGCCGTGCCTGCTCAAGTACCTGGCTTGTTTGTTATTGGGCACTCTAGCCTCGCCCTGCCAAGTTTGGGCTGCGGCCATCTTCCTTCCGCCCCATGACGCAGTCATCCTGCACCTGCTTTCAAGCCCATGATGCCGCCATCTGCGGCCATGTTTGAAGCTTGCTGCTGAGCCATGACAGCAACCGTGGCTGTGACGCTGGATTCGCGTTCCAGTGACTCTGTTCTTCTTGTAGTCATTGAACAATCTGAACCATTATCGTCAGGGCACGAGGAGATCGTCGCTTGACCAAGTCCTACTCATACCCCATCACATGGTGCCCATTTATCACTTTATCCCAGGGCCACGTAAACAGTTCCTGCTGGCAATTTCTTAACTTTTCCATGTGCTCAAAAGGTTCTTCTACTGTGCCCCGGAGATGAGTGCTTAACCTCCTTTCCCTCCTTCCCTTTGCTCTTGTTGGCCATCCGTCAAACATGTCTACCCACGATGTTGTCGCAAATGTGCAAGAGAAATATGCGGACAAACCTGCGGTCGTCCCCGAGTCCAATGGCGATATCAAAGTCCCCAAGATCAGTGTCGATGCTCCGGCCTCACCAGGCGACTCGACATCCC